GCTCCGGCGAGGCTGTCAAAAGTGTCGTCGATGCGGGGTATGGGGAAGGCGTCGCCGAGCGTGACTGCGTTCAGTTTACGATAATCGACGCAAAACCGGGTTGACCCATCCTTTTTCGTTACTAGTACCACCGGGGCTGACCAGGGGCTCGCCGAGGGCTGAATTATGTTATCGCGAAGCATGTCCCCAACCGCCTCTTTGATCTGGGTGCGTTCGGGTGCGCCCACTCGGTATGCAGGGAGTTTGATGGGTCGGGCTGCACCGGTGTCAATTTGGTGCTTAACAAGGTCGGTCTGACCAACGTCCGAGTCGTGTTCGCTGAACACGTCGGCATACTCCCGCAGTAAATCGCGCAGCCGATCGGCCTCTCCCTTAGGTAAGTCCGCCCATGGTACATGTAACGCGTCGAGCAGGGGAACGACCTCGGCTCGGGGAGTCGGGCCGACTCGCCAGGCCAGGTCCTGCTCACCCTCAGGACGACCGGGGTCCTCAGCCCAGAGTGCGAACACCGAGTCGTTAGAGTGGCGTGCGTGCAGGGGGTGTACTGTGGCTATCGGGGTGCGCCTTCGCAGTATCGCTGGGGTATTGTGGGGGTTAAACATCCGCATAAACAATCGGTCCCCATCTGCGTTTACCAACGTGGCGGATCCCACAACCCCATACCGTTTTGCCAACTCCGGGTGAGGAGTTAGCATTACCTCCCCTGATGGTCGGAGCGCGGGGTCGGTGGGGGATGTTGCCACCGGCACCAGCATCTCGGTGAGCGGCCCGATGGTGACTGCCGTCGCCAGGATAGCGGCCACAGGTGCAAAGCGGAGGCGCGTTGGTTCTCGTCCCAGGAACGGTATCCGCTCGCCGTTGCTCTCCATGGTGGCGCATCGCTGGCGGGGTTGCACGTTGAGTCCCAACCGTTCTAGGAGGTCGGTGCCTGCGATACACTCGTGACACAACGCACTCGACACGTAGAACTCCTGCGTGCACACCTGGCTGCCTATGCGGACCTCTAGGGTGGCTCTCCCCAGCAGCCCCATTCCGGCTCCACTCGCAGTGTGCAGCGCGCGGTCCGGGGCCTGCAGGTGACGCACGTCGACCCCGATCGCGCTGCAGTGCGCTGCGCTCACGAGCGAGGCCACCGCCCCCGTGTCCAGCAGGATTCGGGTACGCACTCTGTTAACCTCCCCTTCCACCAGCGACGTGGCCCCCGTGATCCCCGCCACCAGCTCCCGTAGCCAGTCGCCGGGAGTCACCGTTTCCGTGGGCGTTGTTGCTGGAACCTGTGTGGAGATCACTCGCTCGCCATTATTCTCATTATCGTCTATTTGTATCGGGACCGCGTCGATTGCACCCCTAGTTGGTCCGCTCTCTAGGGGGCGTTGGAGTTTAACCCCCGCATCTGCCTAGCTCGGGTGATTTCAGGACAGTCTCTCACTAGATGCCCTCGGCGATCGCACATATAACATGCCCGAGGAGGGGGGGCGGCTCCGTAGTGGGCCCCCTGCCCACTCCCTCTCCCTCCCCCAGTACGCAGTTGTCCCAAATCGGACTCTAATTGGGACACCCTCCCGGCTAGCCCCCCTACCGTGGAACGTAGTTCACCCATCTCAGACTGGAGGGTCTTCATATTTTTATTTGCTTCCTCGCGTACCTGGGTTACCCTCTCACCTACTTGGTTTATCATATCTCCCATACCGGCCTGTAACCCAGCTACCCACCCCGGGGTTTTCTCGCTGGGTCTCTGGGGCTCCCTTGCCCGTCCCCTTCCTGCGATGGCGAGCTCCTCCTCCTCATCCGAGAGTAGGCTCGCTACGGCGCACTCTCGTCCCCTCCCTCGAGGCTGCGCGCGCTCACCCGAGAGCTTCTCGCATTTACGCGCGCGCTCGACAAGTGTGTTAAAGGAGAGGCGTGCACCGTCTATATTTGGCTGCCACCATGAGGTGCGTGCCAAATATCGCTGGACCTTCCCGGCGGCGAGGCTCTCAATTACTTTCGCCTCGTGCTCCGGGTACGCGAGCTGGGTCAACATGCGTACGTCCTCGGCGTAATCTCGCAGATCCTCGCCGGGCTGACGGCGGCGTGCCTCTAAGGCCGCCTGCGCCTCCTCCTCGTCATAGGCGCCGAAGCGCCGTTCGAGTTCGCACATTAATTTTTCCCACTGAGTTTGCGCGCTTGCGGGCAAAGCTTCCACAAAGTCAGCTGCTCGCCCATCTAAATGTATCTCTAACTGCTGCAACGCCTCCTCATCCGACCACCCATTAACCTTTTTAGCCCCCCTGATGCTGCGGGCAAACGATTTCCATAATGGAATTCCTTTGCCTGTAAATGTGCATTTGATTTTAACCTGGGTTGGGGGGCCTCTTTCCCTTGGGGGCGCGGGGGATCGTCCCGTTTCTGACACCAATATGTCGGGGTCGCTGGCCCCCGAGATCCCTCCCTCTGTACTGCTAACGGTCGGGTTAACCTCATTATTAACCTCATTACTCGCCCCCTCGCTACTAGGCGAACCGCTGTTGGGTTCTTCACCCATGGGGTGAGAGCCGTCGCTCGAGGATTCCCCTCCCCCGCGGGTCCGCGTAATAGGCATGGTTAATTACGTACGCGCACACCCACACACAGCTCTGCGCGGCACTCACTCAATACCGACCACTCACGTTAGGATCGCGCACCTGTATTATACACGTAGTGAACGTGCGCGCGCACACGCATACAGCTCCACACGCGATACCCACTCTTGCGCTGCTCCGCGCAGCGCTCGCCACCTGCTGGCCGCTTACGTTATGATCGCGCACCTGGGGTACGCCGATTACGCACGCTGCGAGCTTACGCACACACAGTACCACACGCGTTCCCACACGCTCACACTGCACGACAAGATCACGCGAGACCACGCTTCGCTATTAATGATTTATTACCTGGTACTAATGTTGAATCAGTGAGTCGACGAGGCTGGCCTATTCCCCTCAACCGGCACCTATTCCCTATTTATCGGCTATTATCTTACTTCACCTCCCCACTCCCTGTTTGGCGCCCGCGGAGGTTCGCTGCTCCCTGCGCTAACAACGTACCTCGATGCGTCTCACGGACGTCCGGGTCGCTGGCTGGAGCTGCTGCTGGTCCGCTGGCCTGGAGAGAAGAGAGCGATTTCCCCTCTGCGCCCCTCTATTTATCCTCCCTACCTCAAAGGGGATGCTGCGCTGAACAATGGGCTCGTGCACCTCGAGCCCGCGCACGGCGGTTCCGGGCGCTGTTGATATGCTAATCAGTGTGCGGCGTGCAAGGCGTAAATCCTAGTTAATCCCTTACCCTTCCTAACAATGGGGCCTGCGCGCTCAAGCGTAATTATTCCAACCCTCCATGACTATGCGCAACAGCTCCTGCGGTCCCGCTATTCATGCTGTCCCGTCCCTCCTCTGCTTGCCCCGTCGACCCGTGGGGGTGTGTGTGGGGGGAAATGCGCCTCAACCGCGGTGGCCGAATGCCCCATGCCGCGACCACACCATATTAAGGCTGGTCGCAGCGCCGCGGTGCCACGTAGCACGGGGGAGGTCATCCAATTCCCTGATCGCCGGAAACCGTGAGAGTTAACCCCGATAAGGGTTTCTCGGATAAAAACCGGTCGGCCAGGTGACCTCCCCTCGGAGCTCTATGGGGGGGGGGGGGAAATGCGTGCGGGTGTGTTCGTGTGAGGTGAGGTGAGGGGGACGCGGGGTTGGCTCCGTTGCTTGGTGGTGGCGAGGTCGGGGATTTGGGCGCCTGCCGAACGGCTTCGTGGCGGCGGCATCACAATATCATTTGTGGCCAGGTCGTTTCTGAAAAATAAGCTAATAGCTCAGTGGGCTTTACTTGATAAAATTAAATATTTTAGTTTTCAAACTTGATTTGAAGTTTTCGTGACTGCAGGAATCCATACTCTTTGGTTCTTTTGGTAAAGTCACGTAGGCAGAAAAATATAAAATAAATCACGACGTTTCGACAACGATTGCTTGTGTTGCAATCGAAACGTCGTGATTTATTATTTATTTTTTCTACCTACGTGACTTTACCGAAAGAACCAAAAAGTATGATAATTGTTTTTTTACCCTTCTATCTGGCAACAAAACTGACACCTTTTTACAAGGAGTCATGTTTGCATAGACCGCAATACCTGCAGTCATAATACAAACCAAAGAACATAACTCTGATAATGTGCACCGTCCTTGAAGTTGATTGGTCCACACCCGAGACAGCTTTTCTTAGAGCCTAGTCTCACATGGATTGGACCAGATGATGCCAAAAGGCGCACAACTCAAAGACAATGCACCATCAGAGTATGAGAGCTCGGGGCAAGCATCTACACTATGGGAACCTCATTTGCCAGTAAAAATATGATAATTGTTTTTTTACTCTTCTATCTGGCAACAAAACTGACACCTTTTTACAAGGAGTCATGTTTGCATAGACCGCAATACCTGCAGTCATAATACAAACCAAAGAACATAACTCTGATAATGTGCACTGTCCTTGAAGTTGTGAGACTAGGCTCTAAGGAAAGCTGTCTCGGGTGTGGACCAATCAACTTCAAGGACAGTGCACATTATCAGAGTTATGTTCTTTGGTTTGTATTATGACTGCAGGTATTGCGGTCTATGCAAACATGACTCCTTGTAAAAAGGTGTCAGTTTTGTTGCCAGATAGAAGGGTAAAAAAAACAATTATCATATATTTACTGGCAAATGAGGTTCCCATAGAACCAAAAAATATTTTAGTTTTCGTTTTATTTATAGTGATTTGCTTACCTTTCCTATACTTTACACTCCTGCTTTTGTATCGATTGTTGTTGTAACTTTCTCACCCCGTGCCCCTACACTGGACACCTGTGAAAAAGAGCTTCATAGCTCATCAGAGTTCTCCAGTGCATATAAATATAAAAATTCTGATGACGATGATAACGACGACGATGAAATGTACGGTGAGGCACAGGCAGTGGCAGTGACGCGGGGCGAGAGCTGCATGCCCGTGTGTACCTGGGCGTCTGCGCGTTGCAGTGGTAGATGTACTCGCAGATGGTGTCGTCGTCAAAGAGGTTGGAAAACTTGCGCTTGAAGTCCGGCCGGAAGCGCTGCACCATGCCGGGCCCTGCTGGAACCCAACGGGAACGCTCAGCATAAGGTTTCGCGCTCGAGCGGGGCGGTGACGTACAACTGCCGCTAACGTGGTCTCTCCGTCAAGGGGCGCCTGGGATAAGTGGATCGCTTGTGAGAGATTAAAATTTACCTTGCCTGGTATAAAGGAGGTCGTGAGTTCGGACCCCATTCCCGACGCCAGTTGTATATTTTGAATTTGTGTCTCTCTTCCCGTGGTCGCATGGATTTTTTCTCTGGGTCTTCCACATTTAGAATCAACATGCGTTTAAGAGTATTTGGCTGCTATAAATGACAATGTGATGATAAATAACTTCGTTGACCTATCATTTGTGGCAGCCAGGTCGCTTCTGAAAAAGAGCTACATAGCTCAGTGGGCCTTACCTAAGATAAAAAAAAATAGTTTTAGTTTATTTTTCTTTCTAGATTTGAAGCTTTCATGACTGCAATGATTCATATTCGGTAAAGTCACGTAGGTAAAAATAAATTATAAAAAGAATAGAAATAATAATAGAAATAAAATTATAAATCACGACGTTTCGGAGGCAACACAAGTTTCCGTCATCAGGTGGGACCGTCACAGCTAAATTATTTAGTTTCTTTTGCCCATCCCCACCTCGCGGGACCCGCCGAGTGAGACTGACCCCATGGCCCGGCGGCGCGTAGGCCGGCCAGCGGGTTGAAGGGGCTCAGCACAAAGCCGATGGCCTTGACCCACATTGGCACGGGCCGCTCCTGGTCCGGGTTAAGGGGCCGCTCGGGGAAGCCCCACGGGTCCACCAGGATCAGCTGCTTCACCCTGCAATGCACGCGCTTTAAACATTTTTTACAAATATTTCACCAGGTGAGCTATGTAACTCTTTTTCAGAAGCGACCTGGCCACAAACGACAGCTCAACTTAGTGGCTTATCATGTGGACATTTATAGCAGACAAACATTTTTAAACGCATGTTTCTAAATGTGGAGGGAAAAGCCTGATAAAACCGGTGAAAAATCCACACAACTACAAGAAGAACATGCAAACTCCAAATAAACAGGTGTCAGTGATGGGATCGAACCCACGACCTTGTGTACACCAGGCGAGGTAGTCAACATCTCGCCACCGTGGCCGCAGCCATTGCCCGATGATCCAAACAATGACCTTTGACCCAATCGGTGCACTTCTGCTGCACGCCGTGTGACTACACGAAGCCATACAGGCTGGAGTACGGCGGTTGTCAGCCGGCAGAGCGGGGGGGGGGATGCGTAGGCTGTGGCATGGGTACTGTGCAGCAGGTGAATATATGATTGTGCACGTGGAACATCAACACCACATTCCGGCAAAAAAAACCCACACTAATACACGTGAAGCGAAGATTAGTTTTAAATCTGTTTTGCTGCATAATGGAAATGTTTTTTCCATCAATTCCAGTTGGTCATGCATTCCATATGAAGGAAACCTATGACAACATGAAACAACTTTTGAGGTGCATAAACTATGACCAACATCAGTGGCAGCTTTGTGGCCATTTGAAGGTTGTTACTCTCTTTCTTGGTCTGAAAACTGGATACACAAAGTACTGCTGTTTTATCTGCGAATGGGATAGTCGTGCGATAAATTCCCACTATATCAATGTAAATTGGGCACTCTGACAGTCATTGGAGCCTGGGAGGAAAAGTATTCAGCATCCACCACTTGTTGAATCAAGGAAGATGTTGTTATCACCCTCACACATCAAGCTGGGTCTGATGAAGAACTTTGTCAAAGCCATGGACAAAACACAAGCAGCTTTCAAGTACCTCCGTGGAAAATTTCCAAGGTTAAGTGAAGCTAAGATGAAGTATGGTGTCTTTGTCATGAACTTCTTCGAGATGATGCATTTGACAGTGCACTGCGTGGCAAGGAAAAGACGGCATGGAAAGCCTTCCAGTTAGTGGCAACACATTTTATCGGAAACAATAAGACAGACAACTAGAGAGCATTGGTGGAAAACCTCCTCAAGGCATACAAAAGCTTTAGTTGCAACATGTCACTAAAGATACATTTTTGCACTCTCATCCAGATTTTTCTCACTGAACTGCGGAGCAGTGAGCGACAAGCATGGCGAGCGATTTCACCAGGACATTGCAACGATGGAGAAACGCTATCAGGGCAAATGGAGCCCATCAATGCTTGCAGACTATTGCTGGACAGTGCCAAGATATGCTCCATTTAATGAATACAAGAGACAAGCCAAGTAGACACTGAATAAGGACTAAATAAACTACGTAATTATATATCCATAATAGTTTTTTTGCCTTTTGTTTCATCATACATTTTATTTATATAACCCTTTTGCTGATTTTTTAAGTGTTACATGAACAGGACAGGTGACATGTTATCATGTAAAGCAACCATAAATACATGAAAAGACCTAGGTTTACAATTTATAAGTAAAACTCTATCTACACAATATACCTAGACGTTAAATGTAAAAACTTTAATATATTGGGAACAGTAGCCAATCAGTTGTTTTAATTGTCATATTTGAATTTAGCATATCAAAATCCATAATAAACAGCACATTTCATCTCTAAAGCAGACGACGTCTAAAAAATTGTAGACCAGTGTAATAGGTACTGCATATTCTCAGAATAACATTCATAGTGATGTCATCACGGTGATGACATTCCCACTGCTCGATATAAGACCGAATACAGGAAGACTTCTTCAGAATTCTGGCTAATCGCCTGATGAGGCTGGTTGTAATCACCAGCGAAACGTCGTACTCCAATTGTAAATGTTATGGGTTTATTAGTAATGTTGTGGGTTTACTAGTAACTAATTGGCACGTTTTGTTGATGTGACAGACCTTACTTATTGGCCGTGTCAGGTGGTGGTGGTGGCGGGTTCAACGACACAATAATGTTTATGTGATCTAGAACCCCAGTGTAGCCGATGAACAGACTGTTGGGGCAAGTGCTGTTGGCGAGCAGCACCTATGATGCCTCACTTGATACAGCAAATCTGGCTGTGACGCTCCCACCTGATGACGGAGACTTGTGTTGCCTCCGAAACGTCGTGATTTTTATTATTTTATTTTTATTAATTTTTATTTCAATTTTTTACCTACGTGACTTTACCAATAAAACTAAGAGTATGAATCCTTGCAGTCACGAAAGCTTCAAATCTAGAATTAGCACCCATGAAGGCCGGAACTGTGGCACACGAGGGTGGTGGGGTAGTCTGCACCACGCCCGACTGCCTTTGGCTCCGATTCAGATAATCGTCAATGGTGTTGGGCGTGAATCGAACTCGGGTGGTCGGGTTCGCTGCACTGCCGCTTCTCACTCGCAGACAAACAAGACACACGCTTCGGATCGTTGTCGGTAAGTACGGTGTCTATTCAAGTATTTATACTCCTAATTATGGTTTTTTTTTACATGTGTAGGGGTGTTAGAGAGAGAGCCCGTTATGCATGGCAGCTTATGGCAAACAAACACAGTGGGCGGGGCTACGTGAGTGCACGGGGAGGTGCTCTCTACGACGTCCGCGCCAGGCACCCTGGGGGGGGCTGATTCGGAGTTATGATCCCCCGGGGCCCCACCCCTCAGCGGGGGGTTGGGTATAAAAGGGGATGTGTCGGAGGGCTCGGGGAGAGAGGTTAAGCTAACCAGTGAAGACTGAAGACGTCTTAGCTAGAGCCCTGGACTCCCCTGGTTCGCCGTCCTTATCAGGGCCGAACAGGACCGAGCCAGCGGCGTGGTCCCGAGAACCAGAGCCGGTGCTCTTGTCAGAGCTGGTCTGGGACTCAGGGTACCGGGCCCGACTTACCAGTGTCGGGCCAGATAGCCTCCCCTAGCCCGTTAGTGGAGGACTAGGAGGCAGGCTAGGAGTAGCTAGCGCGTGTATCCCCAGCTAGCCGGGTGAGGGGGCCGATACCCCCTCTAGTGTTGTATGCCACAACCGTGCTGTGTGAAATAAACCCGTGTGCCTCCAACTCCGGCGTCCAAGAGTCGTGAACTCTACTACACATGTGCAGTGACATCGCGGGATGTCACTGTACAGTGCCAGCCCTAGAGAGGCACGGCGTGCGATGTAACGACATCGCGGACACCACGAGGGTGTGGGTGCAGTACCGGACCTAGAGGGGCCCGGTGAGCGCTGATTGATAGCGCTGGATGGCACCACGCTTGGCGTGCAGTGCCAGCCCTACAGGACAGGGTGTGGGAGTGCCGGCCAAAGGATGAGGTTACTAAAGGCCATATCACTCTGGTTGACCCGAGAGGACACGTGACCAGTTAAGTCTACAAAGGGGGCCCCAAGTGGGGCTATGGGTGGTCACGTGATTGGGATACAGATCCTTCCCGAGGATTCTGGAAGGTGGTCGTGGCCAAGGGCGGAGCCAGACACACCGCAGAGAATATAAGCCGGGTCCCGAGAGGGACCAGGCTTGTTGTTGTTCATCCTGGAAGAAACCTTCGTCTACGTTGTCCGTTCAACAAGTCTCCAACACGTGGACCTGGACCCAAGCTGTTGGTCTCGGTCCGTAGTAGCAGTTACGTTGTAATTAGTGTAGTTAGCCTGGTGGCCACCACCATAGGTTGTTATTCTGTTAAGGGGAAAGTTACCCCGTGTGTTGGAGTTGAATAAATGTGTTGCCTCCAAGTCTACTTCTGTGACTCAGTTGAACTCACTACACATGTGTATTTAAGTTTAGTTTTTTGTTTATTCTACATACATTACAGTGCTTATTTCAATTGTGATGTTGTCTGTGTTTGGTTTCCGTGTGCCAAACCACTTTCCGAGAACGTAACCCCCCGCGATAGTCAGCCTTTTGTATGCGGATGGCGGTGTCGCATTAGATTCACGGTAACGCAATGCGTCACCTGGCCACACAAAGACAAAGATCCCCCGTGTAGCCTTTAACAGACTGAAGGGGCAAGTGCTGTTAGCGAGTAGCCACCTATGAAGGCCGCCACGGCACACAAGAGGGGGTGGGTGGCCTGCAACCACGTCCGGCCGCCTTTGTCTCCCCAGTGGCGATGTTTACACCACTGCACTAGGTACTCATTTGAGGCTGAGTCGACAATGGGGAGGCCCAGGATCGGTTCAGATAATTGTCACTGGTGTTGGTCGTGAGCGGGAATGGAATCCGGGTCGCCAGGTTTGTAGCGTAGCGCGCTCACCGCTACACTACCGCTCCCCACCTGGCCACACATACACACACGTTGACTGGCAAGCGACACACCCGACACTGTTGTTGGGTCGGAAGCTCCCACTCCGTGTGTGTGTCTCGGGAGGGATTATTCATTTACATGGGGGAGATATGGGGTGGCGGTGATGGGACTTTGGCCATTGGGGAATAGATTTGTGTTTATTTTTAGTGATTTGCTTAACTTTCCTATTCAGTACTCTGCACTCATGCCATGTTTTTTTATTGTTTGTTGTAACTTTCTCATTGGACATGTTGTACAAAAGAGCTTTTGTATAGGCCATCGGATTCTTACAGTATCAATAAAGATTCTGATGAGATGATAACATCATTGTGGGGTTGGGGTGAAGGGGGTGGAGTAGGGCAGTCGATAGATCATGGCTGCCGATAAGATTCGTTTTCGTGACCTGGTATGGGTTTTTTAAATAAATATAAAAATAGTATAAACAATGGCATCTGTACAAGTGAGTTCATTCTGTATATTCGTGGTGGAAATCCCCGTGGGGGATAACGCTCAGTTGCTATAGTAGTAGTAATAATAACGCACTTGCTGGCGAGGTGTGGCCGCTGGTTTGGTGGTGGTGGTTGTTGTGACGATGGCAGTGTTGGCTGAGTGACCCAAGCTGGGGCAGTAACAATGTGGGCTTGGGTTTGGCACAGTCCACAGATTAAGAGCCATACGCAGGTGAGGACTCTTGCAAAGGACGCACGCCGGTGACACTGCCAAGGTGGTTTCATTGTTTTGTTTGTTTTGGTCAATCCACTGCTGGATGAGGGGCCCTCTTCCCCCACCCCACACCGCGCCTTGCAGGCCGTGGGTGATGGTTGGCCGTGACCTGGCCGCTGGTTGGCCACGTTGGGGTGGCGGAAATCGTCGCTGACCGCAGCGCCAGTCGGCGTCTTTCGCCCACCCGATCGCCCTGCCAGGCCTCAAGCCCCTCGCCGCGTAGCTCCTCGCGAGACGCGTTGTTGTACTGTACTCGTGTGTGCCCCCCTTCAACCCCCCCCTTCACCAACCCGCCGCACTCGTGACCGGTCTGGTGAAGTATGGTCAAAACAAGGCTCATCTGTGGGTGCAAAGTAAGAGTCTAAATCAGGGGCGGTTTCTTCATTAGGGCGATTGGGCGACGCACCACCAATGTCATTCAACCACAGAGTCACGCTAGCCGTCACTGTGCCTCTGGATATAGTCCAATCAGCGTCATGTCACGTTCTGTGGAGTACCGCCTCTTTTTGGGCGATTTCACTCCGGCTGAGAATCGCCCCGAGTGGCCCCATAGACTTACATTCAAAGATGTTTTTTTTCGAAAGGCGGGCGCTCCAATGCATTCTCTATGGCTTCCGGGAGGGCTCGCCCTAACGTGCTTACGTCATCATACGTAAGCACGTTTCATCCAACAATATAATTTGTCGCCACCTAGTGGAATCTTTAATAAAAGATACTTGAGTGGATTGTATTAATAGTGAGTATAGAAACAAACAAGATGTATTGTAAGAGTCACTTTATTTTTCATTAATATTAAAGAAGTGAAGTTGCCTTTACATGTTTAAGCTGTTAATTTATCCATTGCATGGGTGGACCTTATCCTTATCAATCATCCAGACACTTGCCCCCCCTGAGAGATTTTGCAGGAGCCGCCACTGGTCTAAATGCAGCGTGGGACAAGGGGGGAGTGATTTCACTGCGCGTGTCCATGATACTGTCATTGATGACGATGGCGAGATGTTGACTACCTCGCCTGGTGTGCAGGAGGTCGTGGGTTCAATCCCGACCCTGACGCCTGCTGCTGCTGTATATGTGTATTTGGAGTTTGCGGTGTCTCTCTCTCATCATCATCACGGTGGCTATGAGATGTTGACTACCTCGCCTGGTGTGCAGGAGGTCGTGGGTTCGATCCCGACCCTGACTCCTGCTGCTGTGTATTTGGAGTTTGCGGTGTCTCTCTCTCTCCCTGTGGTCGCGTGGATTTTTCTCCACATTTAGAATCAACTTGCGTTTGGAGTTTGTGGCTGCTCTAAATCTCTACATTACAAGCCGACAATTCGTCGAAGCATCCTTCGAGGTCAGGTCGCTTCTGAATCGTCTACAGCTCAGTGGGCTATGCCCGGGCAAAATAAAACATTTAGTTAACCACTGTACACATTTCTGCACAGGGCACTGCACACACGTGTACTGTATCAACTACCGACCTTGGGGAGCTGCTGCTATACAATGTGCAGTTCTTGTTTAAAAAAAAAAACATTCCTCCTGGGTCGATACAATTGGTACCACTTTGTGGGGAAGTCAACGATGCTTGTCCTATACGTGGCCTCGTTCCCGCCGCAGGACCGTGGAATGTCCACCACTGGCTCAGGGAAGCCCTGAGCCCTGGCTCAGGGAAGGCCTGAGCCAGTGGTAAACGGGAGGAGATCGTTTGGGAAGAGCGTCACTTTCCCCCCTTTTCGTCATTGCTCGCGACTTGCCGCCCACGCTCGCAGTTGCCCGCCAGTGACGTGCGGCGTTTGCTGCGGAAGGGAAGTTCCCCGGTGGCGGTGACCGAAAGTGACCGAAAGCGAGGGGGGAGGGAGGAAGGAGGCAGCTTCGGTGCCGTCTGCCATGGGACTAAATATAACACAACTTTTGTTCCTGGGTACGAATTGCTACTTTTTTTAATTGCATTATGCCTAAGAAGCTATAGGCAATGGCTATTATTTCACACAAACTTTGCTTTTGTGACACTACCCAGGAACAACATTGTTTTGTTACACTGTAATCAAAGAAAGCCCCTTCGAGACGCGCACTGAAGGGTACAGCGCTGCGCTGTTGACGTGTGTCATTCAAAATCAGTCGTCGTCAGCAGCCGTGATCTATCCACTGCTGGATGGTCTTACCCCGCGATGCAACCAGCTACCTCGCTCGCGAGCTGCGCTCACCGCTGCTCCGTCTCCGCTGGGGACGTCCCTCGGGACGCGCTCCGCCTTTGGCTGCCGCTCCGTTCTTAGTCTCGACCACCGGGCCACCGTCAACTCCGAGCCGCGTCATGCCCAATCAGCACGATCAGCATGGTGATTCTGAGCATGATTACTGATCATGATAACCGTGATCACTCATGATTCTGAGCATGATTACTGATCATGATAACCATTATTATTGATGATGATTCTGACCATGATTACTGATTATTCTGACCATGATTACTGATCATGATAACCATGGTTACTAATAATTCTGACCATAATTACTGACGATGATAACCATGATTACTGATGATTCTGAGCATGGTTACATGCTGACGATGAGAGTGATGATGCCCATGACATGACGTTGACAATGATGATAACCATGGATGTAAATGATGACTGTGATGTTAATGATGATGACCGTGACAATCGGCATGCAGTATCCACGTGTGCTTGGTCCTCTGTGGCGTAGTGGACAACAACAATAATTTACATTTGTAAGGCGCATTTCATCCGTGGATGCCAATGCGACCACCGCCTCCCACCCTAAATATCCCGGGTTCAAGTCCCGCATCAGACGCAATCGGAAGGGTGCGAGTTCAAATCCAGGTTGGGGTGGCGGGGGGTTGACTCAGCCCACAATCGTTTTGGGGTCAATAACATTCCTACCACTTTGTGGGGAAAGCCATCAGCGGTTGTCTTATGACTATACTCACCCCCGGCACAGGAATGTGGAATTGCAATCACTGGTTATACATGTGACATGAGCACCACTCCTCGATGACGAATTCGCCATTCGTCACTTTGAATTCGCACCTGGGCGAGACAATCCGAGATTCGCTATATACCTTTTGCAAGGGCAGACACAACTGGCCAAACACACACGCCACCACAGCAAAGCTGCCGCTGCTCCTCCGTGCGGTTCACGAGACCCCTCAACAATCACCCCCCTCCCCCCCAGGCAAAGAGAAACCCGACGGACACGTGACCGATGTGCCGTAGACTCCTCAGTTGATGAGGAATCGCAGCGACTCCCAGAAGTGACCACGACGACTTGGCCGAGAGCCACGGCTTGAGAGGGCAGGAGGAGGGGGGAGGGCAGGGGGAGGCGGGCAGGGGGAGGGAGAGGGGGAGGGAGGAGGGCAGGGGGAGGGAGAAGGAGGAGGGCAGGGGAGGGGGAGGGCAGGGGGAGGGAGGAGGGCAGAGGGAGGGAGAGGGGGAGGGAGGAGGGCAGGGGGAGGGGGGAGGAGGGCAGGGGGAGGGAGAGGGGGAGGGAGGAGGGCAGGGGGAGGGAGGAGGGCAGGGGGAGGGGGGAGGGCAGGGGGAGGGAGGAGGGCAGGGGGAGGGCAAGGGGAGGGGGGAGGGCAGGGGGAGGGCAGGGGGAGGCGGGCAGGGGGAGGGAGAGGGGGAGGGAGGAGGGCAGGGGGAGGGGGGAGGCGGGCAGGGGGAGGGAGAGGGGGAGGGAGGAGGGCAGGGGGAGGGGGGAGGGCAGGGGGGAGGGCAGGGGGAGGGGGGAGGAGGGCAGGGGGAGGGAGAGGGGGAGGGAGGAGGGCAGTGGGAGGGAGGAGGGCAGGGAAAGGGGGTAGGGCAGGGGGAGGGGGGAGGCGGGCAGGGGGAGGGAGAGGGGGAGGGCAGGGGGAGGGGGGAGGGCAGGGGGAGGGGGGAGGGCAAGGGGAGGAGGGCAGGGGGAGGGGCAGCGGGAGAGGGGAGGGCAGGGGTAGGGGGGAGGGCAGGGGGGAGGCGGGCAGGGGGAGGGAGAGGGGGAGGGAGGAGGGCAGGGGGAGGGGGGAGGGCAGGGGGAGGGCAGGGGGAGGGGGGAGGGCAGGGGGGAGGGCAGGGGGAGGAGGGCAGGGGGAGGGGGGAGGGAAGGGGGAGGGAGAGGGCAGGGGGAGGGGGAGGGGGGGAGGGCAGGGGGAGGAGGGCAGGGGGAGTGAGAGCAGGGGAAAGGGGGTAGGGCAGGGGGAGGAGGGCAGGGGGAGGAGGGCAGGGGGAGGGGGGAGGGCAGGGGGAGGGAGAGGGCAGGGGGAGGCAGGGGGAGGTAGGAGGGCAGGGGGAGGGGGAAGGGCAGGGGGAGGGAGGACAGAGGGAGGGGGGAGGGGCAGGGGGTGGATGGTTGGGGGCCAGGGGAGGGTTTTGGACAGAGCTTATAAAGGATGCGTGCCCCACTCGAGCGACCCCAAATCAGCCATCTCAGCCCAGCACCCATCTACCAAGCAAGTAAACCGTCCTCCACCGCCAGGGAGTGGCATCTTCGTCGCCATCGGGGTGAGCGGGTGGCTTCGTTTCTCGCCGAGTGTTTTATCAGTCTCGTGGGAGACCCCAGGGCAGGGTCTGCTGTGGCAGGCACCACGGGGACGTTGATGCCCCATGCGCACTCTTTGCGGTGGTGCGGAATAGATGTTTTGGACCTCAGCCCCGGCCAGACAGCTACGGCTAAAAATTAAAGCCCCCGATTGTTGTAATCATCGTCGCTTATCATTATAATACGAGTCATTGATAATATCGTCAGCGTGGTGTGATTCTCATCATTGCATTGTGTTGAAAAATTGGCGCTTGCAGACTTTTCAGTATTTCTATCTATTTTAATGTGGTGACTTGCTTAGCTTGTTCTCTACGTTGCACCCCTGATCGGCTGTACTGTTCGTTGTTGTAACTCGCTGACCCGCCCCGACTGGACATCGTGATCAATAGCTTCATAGCTCATCGGATTCCTCCTGCAGTCTAAATAAACATTCCGATTCTGATCATTATATCGTTAGTGGACATGTACTGTAGAGTGAACAGAAAATTACCTACGGTTATAAAAAAACAGACTGACGTTTCGAGCAATGACCCTTCTTTCTGTGTGTGTGCGTCAATATATATGTGTGTGTGTGAGTCCGTGTGTGTGTGAGTCGATTGTGTGTTACTCGATATGTCTGTGCGTAAGTCCATTTGTGTGAGTCGATAAGTCAGTGTGTCTGTGTGCATCTGTGTGTGTGTGCGTAAGTCCATGTGCGTGTGTAAGTCGATATATGTGTGTGTGAGTCCATGTGTGTGTGTGAGTCGATTGTGTGTTAGTCGATATGTCTGTGCGTAAGTCTATGTATGTGTGTGTAAGTCCATGTGTGTGTGTAAGTCGCTGTGTGTGTGTAATTCGATCTGTGTGTGTGTGTAAGTGGATGTGTGTGTGTAAGTCGCTGTGTGTGTGTAATTCGATCTGTGTGTGTGTAAGTGGATGTGTGTGTGTAAGTCTATGTGTGTGTGTAGGTCGATGTGTGTGTACGTAAGTCGATGTATGTGTGTGTTAGTCAATGTGTGTGCGTGGTGTGTGTGTGTAGACAACTAATCATTTCAAATTAAGTTACTTAATTTTACATCTATAATGTGTGTGTCTAAGTCCATGTGTGCGTGTGAGTCGATGTGCGTGTGTGAGTCGATATGTGTGTGTAAGTCTACGTGTGTGTGTGAGTCGATGTGTGTGTGTTATGGTTCTATAGAGGCGCACACAGTGAACTTTGGAGGCAACACTATTTATTATTAACACAATAGGTAACTCTTAACATAGGGTGGTGACCACCGACCTATCCTCACTAACACACACCATCAGTCGCTAACACTGACTCTCTGATACGACTAGCGTGGCCAAGCCAGGAGGCTACTGGTTGACCACGCTGACTTGAGGCTTGACTCTTCTTCCTCACGAGGCGTCTTCATGAGGCATCTTCATCCCGGACTCGAGCAGCCCCGAACCCGGTGCGGAGGCCACTTATATGCGCCTCAGCGTGTCCGGGCCACACGGCGGCCACGCCCACCTTCGAGAACTCTCGAGAAGGCTCTTCTCCTGTCCACGTGGCCCCCAAGGTGCCCGCGGGGTCCCCGGGCCCCACCTTGATCCGGTCACGTGTCCAGCCAGGTTCATCCAGAGTGCCACAGCCTCACACAATGCCCGCGGTACTAACCCATGGCCTCCATACCCCCCGAACCAGCCGTGACGTCAATCCCGCATCCAGACGTGATGACGTCGTGTGTGTGTGTGTGTGGACCCGCGTGGTAGTGATGCTCCCCTGTGTAGTGATGTCACGCATGTGTGTGTAGGTCCACACGGTAGTGACGCTACAAGTCACTACATGTATAAGTCCATGTGTGTGTGTGTCTAAAGTCGATTTCTGTGTGTGTGAGTCCATGTGTGTGTGTGTGTAAGTCAGGTTTGCAGATTTGCTGAGCATTTCTGTGAGGTCCTGGGGGAGGGGAAATCCCTCAGCCACGAAAACATCATGGCACAAAGTGGGGATAACCCTGCTGAGGCTGTGGTGCCTCAAATATTGGAAGAGGTCACCCCCTGTGAGTGGCTGGCTGAGGTGCCATCTGTTGAGGAAGTACTGAAGGCGATCCGGAGTCTGAGACCAGGAAATGCACCGGGCAGAGATGATCTCCCAAGCGAAATGCTCAGGGAGGGTGGCGTTTGTGCACAGACTGCCCTATATGACATCATAACAACAGTCTGGACCACTGGACAGGTTCCACAGGATTGGAAGGATGCCCTGGTGGTCCCCCTCTTTACGAAGGGGGACCGCACAGACTGTAACAACTACAGGGGCATCTCACTCCTCAGTGTGCCGGGAAAGGTCCTGGCAAGGATTATTTAACATCGCCTTGTTAGGAACGCTGAGGAGAGGCTTGCAGAGCCCCAATGCGGTTTCAGGAAAGGGCGGTCCTGCACAGATGCCATATTTTCTGTCCGTCTGCTATAGCAGAGGTGTAGGGAATTCCAACAAGACCTACATCTCTGCTTTATTGACCTGGTCAAGGCCTATGATGCCATCAGTAGGCCTGGGCTCTGGGTTGTTCTTCGTGCTTTCGGAGTCCCTGACCCTCTGCTCACGATCATTAAGGACCTTCATAATGGTGAGCGGGCCCGGGTAAAACTACGTGGCCGGGAGTCAGAGCCTTTCCCTGTACACCTTGGGGTGCGACAGGGATGTTCTCTGGCTCCCACATTATTTAACATCTATTTTGACCACGTAGTTCGTGAAGCCTTCAATAGCTGTACTGGGGGAATTTCCATTTGGTATAGATATAATGGGAGGCTGATCGATGCCCGGGTGCGATCAAGGGATGTCAACCACGTTATGTATGCCGATGATTTGGTAATTGCTGCTCATCAGAAGAGGAGTTGGAGACGCTGCTGCTGAGACTAGAGCGTGCCACTAAGAGGTGGGGCCTTACCATCAGCCCCACCAAAACTAAGCACCTGCCTGGGTATTTTGTACCATCGGACACTCCACCCCCACAACTCCCAATCGGTGATGGGGCAGTAGTAGAGAGAGTGGATAGTTTCCCATACCTGGGCAGTGTGCTTATGACCGGCTCCAGTTTAACAGCAGAGGTCTCACTCGGAATCAGTCGAGCGGCAATATCTTTTCATCGGTTGTGTAAAGCTGTGTGGAAGCTACCTGGTCTGTCGCTCCGCACGAAGCTTCAGGTCTTCTCGGCCACAGTCATTCCCTCCCTTCTCTACGCTTACGAAACGTGGACCCCCCTAATGGAGCATCTTCGCCGGTTAGAAACATTTAGGCTGGCTTGCCTACGATCCATCCTGGGTTTAACCAGGCTGGATTGTGTGAGGAGCTCACAAATCCTTGAAAGATCTGGGCAAAGTCCCATCGGTGAGCTCCTCCGGCAGGCAAGGCTGCGTTGGCTGGGCCATGTAGCCCGCATGCCCAGCCACCGCATGCCTAAACAGCTTTAGTTCGGCCGGATCGAGGGGGCAAAACGGGCGCGGCACGGGCTAGAGAAGAGATGGAGTGATGTGGTACAGGAGGACGTGGAGCTGAGTGGACTTGCCGATGACTGGTACCAGCGGTGTCAAGATCGGCCTCTGTGGAGGAGGCTCGTGAAGGACGCTACTGGGGAGTTGGAGGCAGTCGCCCTCCAACAACAACGGAGGGCGGAGGAGCGACGCTCACAACAACGAGCGGAGTACCGGGTGGCTAAAGCACAGAAGGTTGGCACAGTAGGGGGCACAGGTGGTGCATCAGCCAGTCATCTCGGTCATCTCAGTCCGTCGACCCGTGGCACCTGGGTCTGCCCCGTGACCTCCTGCCAGCGGGCGTTCGACACTTCACGTGGCCTCAAGGTGCACATGGCCTGGCACAAACGTCGTGGTGACGTCACCGCCACTTAGTGGCGAATGGCGGGTGTTGTTGTTGTGTAAGTCGATGTGTTTCTATGTGTGTGGGTCGATGTCTGTGTGTAAGTCGATGTGTGTTTCTGTCTTTTTCGCCCGGACAATGCCGGGTACTTCCCGTTAGTATAATATACTAGCTTTACTACCCGGCTTCGCCCGGGAACTTGGATTCACCAGGCCCGGCCGCCTTTGTCTCCCCAGTGACGATGTTCACACACGACACCAGTTACTCGTTTGAGGCTGAGTAGACCTAGGGGAGGCCCAGGTCCGGTTCAAATAATCGTCAGCGGTGGTGGGCGTGAGTGGGAATCGAACTCGGGTTGCCGGGTTCGTAGCGTGGCGCGCTAACCACGACACTACAATGCGTTACGCTTCCGTTGTAGGATTTGTGTGAGGCACGCCGATCCGCTGTAGGGTTTTAGTGAGGCGCGCCGATCCGTTGTAGGGTTTGTGTGAGGCGTGCCGATCTGTAGTAGGGTTTTAGTGAGGCGCGCCGATCCGTTGTAGGGTTTTAGTGAGGCGCGCCGATCCGTTGTAGGGTTTTAGTGATGCGCGCCGATCCCCCGCGATACAATAATACTGTGCAATCGCTATAATTTTATGATTTACCGAGCCTATAATAGTAATGTCACACATTGTGGTGGCGGGGGAGTGAAGAGGACGTGTAACTTTGATGAATTTACCTCCGAGTCGCGTGGTGGGTGTCGAGGCCTAGCACCGTGCAGAGCCTCCGGCCTCGCCTGATTTTGCCACCTGGCTAACGCTGGGTACGGGTGCCATTCCCCCCCCCGCGCTACAATAATACTGTGTAATCGCTATAATTTTATAATCTACCGACCCTATAATAGTAATTGCACACATTGTGGTGGGGGGGGGGTGAAGAGGACGTGAAACTTTGATGAATTTACGTCAGAGTCGCGTGTTAATGCGTGCGCCTATTTTTAAGGGGAATTAAAAATGGCGTCCACCCCGCGCCGAAGGCGTCGCTACCCGTTGCCAGGGGCAACCGCCGTCCAATGAAAGCGGCGAAGGCGTGGCTATCCGTTGCCAGGGGCAACCGCCGTCCAATGAAATTGCAGCCCGCGGCGAAGGCGTCGCTACCCGTTGCCAGGGGCAACCGCCGTCCAATGAAAGCGGCGAAGGCGTCGCTACCCGTTGCCAGGGGCAACCGCCGTCCAATGAAACTGCGTATGGTCCGGCGACACACACACACACACAGACAGATAGACAGATTCGCGATTCTATATATATATAGATATGTTGAACTTCTTTAGCGCCGTACATAGCCCAACCATGCTAATTGGCGGTGCAGGGGAATGGAGACGGGGGAAGGAGACGACGGGAAGGAGACGCGGAGAAGGAGATGGGAGGAAGGAAATGGGGGAGGGAGACGTGGGGGAAGGATATGGGGGAAAGGAGATGGGGGGGAGGGATATGGGGGGAGGGAGATGGGGGGAGACGGGGTGTTGGAAAAGAGGTAGACGGGAGGAGGGACACACTGATTTGAGTGGAGACACCGTTGCTTTTATTCATTCCCAAAACATACGTGCTGCGTTTCATTGGGGTGGGGAGTGGCAGCACTACGAATCCGGTTCCTTAAGTTTGATTTACTGCCAACATCAGTGGCGAGTGATACGTGAAATGATTCAGGGGCTCCTTCCTTCATCAAATCGCACTCACCAGATTGGTGAAGTACGGTCAAACAACCCACCAGCATTCACACGCCGTTGAGAAAGCCTTCATTCAGCAGTAGTCGAGTTTAATTTGGTTGACCAGGAGAGAAATGGAGAGACCAGGATGAGTCTAAATCGCACGAGTGAGGACCTGCGGTTGTCACCACAACTGTTGTTGTTTGCTGGCCCAAGTCTCCCTTGACAGAGATCTGCATGGCTCTCTGGCTTCTGACTTCCAACAAAATCATGCACGTGGTTACCCTTAGTGGTTTGGGCCTGGTTTACTTGCTAACATCTACGACTGTGTCAAGGTACGCCAGATCTTTTGTGAATACATGCCGACTATCTGTTCCACGAAACAATGAAGGAAGTGCTTGCATCTAACTTGCACCGCTTGATGTTCAGCACGGTCATATCACACGGTAACACTTGTTTGTTACACAAACTCGGAGGCGCTTTGATGCCCAACGTTTTGCACCACGCGCTGGGAGCTTATTCAGGGGTTGACTTTATACCAATGGGTGGATGGAGGCGGGCCTCCTGGCCATTGTGGCGGCGTCCCCGTAATGTAAACGTGGAAAGGAAATAAGTTGCGAATTATCAATATTTTGCGTGCGACGTGCAAAGCACACCTACCTCCAAAGGAGGAGTTGACTGATTGGTTGACGGGTGCGCTCTTCAACCCAAGGAGCGGTGACGTATCCCAGCGTTCGCGTGTGTCGTTGCTTGTCGCAGGCTTTCACGGTTTGAATCCGGCAGGATGTTGCTGGTTGATTCTGCGGTTGTGCGCATGAAACGTAATGTACCACACGCATGCCGTCCGTGAGACGACACGTAGCAACATCGCCCCCCCCCCCCCCACCCACTGCCACCGCGAAACCGCTGCTGACTGTATGTGTTTGTGAAACACTGCACTTTCACGATAGTGCCCACGCTATGAGAACAGCGTGATTACCAGATCTACTGATGGCTTGAAGCTGTTAAGGTGCTGAGTGGTTCTCCTCCTCTCGTCATGCAGAATCGCGCAAGGCACAGAAGGGTCGCGCCCATTCTGCCTGTCATGATGGCGGAGGAGTCTGGCATCGACCGAACTGCCGGTGAGTTCCCTGTCATACCGACAAGCCCGCCGCATGCCACATTTCCTTTGACGGTATCCGGCCGACCCGACTGGCGTGAGGTTCCTCGTGATAATATTAATAAGAAAACCCTCTGAGCAAGTTCTTATGAATCTGCTACGGAATCCCCGCTACTTGAGGGCATGTCAGCTGGACTGCGCCAAACTCGGTAAATGTATTCTGGTAACGAATGCGCCATCATTTATGCCCGGGTCGACTTACGGTTTAATAAATTGACTTGAGTAAAACGTGGCCTGTGCGACGGTCAATGTCCCCCATCTACCCCCTTTGTGTTGCCCTTTGTAGCGGCCAGAACGGCAGACCGCCGCAGGCTCAGCGGCCGCGTGGGGATACCCAGCATGGTTGACCTTCCCCTGGTCACGCGGCCCGTGAGCGGGGACTGGCATGGCGGTCTGCGGGAAGGTAGGGGCGGCGTGAGACCGCTCATGGCACAGCATCCGGACCCCGAGGCCCGGTGCGGGCCATGGAGGCGGGATGGTGGGGCACCCGGGGACGACGCCGGCTTGGCGCGCTGGCGCGGTCAGAACGGAAGGGCCCCCTACTGGAGAGGCTCCTGCGAACCGAGAGGCGGCGGTGGCCGGGGCAGGGGCAGAGGGTGGCGCGAAGCCGCCGAGGTCCGGGAGGGCCGGCCGCAACGTCCGGAGGGCCGAGCTGAGCTAGATCTTGTTAGGGGGCGGGCCGGCAGCCAGCCTAGGCGCGGAGGGTCGCGCGTCCAGCACGGAGAGAGCGACGGTAGGGGTCGGCGGAACAGCTCGTCCGTGCCGCGAGAGCCACAGGCCGAGCTGGAGGAGCGTCCCCTGAGCTTCAAGGCCCTAGAGGCATTTCTGGAGGTGGAGCCGTGGGAGATTGCACTGCGCCTGAGCACGCCACGCTCGGGTCTGAGGCCGCTGCTCAAGTTGGAGGACATCCGGAAGGATTTTCTGGAACTGCTTATCAGGGTCGTCGGCAGGGCCAGCACGTCCAAAACCAACCGAGAGAGCCACCATTGCCTCGTGGGACTCGTGAAGGACTCCAAGTTCTTGAAGCTCGTGCTGCCCATTTTCATCACCTCCATGCCGGAGGAGAGCTCACGGGCGCGCACCGCCCTCTACCCGGTGCTGGTCTCCTCCATGCTGGACATAGCCAGCGCGCTGCTCGCCGTCTTCCCCAATAGCTCCATCGCTGAGGCGTCGTTGCTGCTCACGCTGCTCAACGCCACCGTGACGGCGCTGTGCCACGGCGGCGATCGCTCCCTCGAGGATTCCGAGGGGCGGCTGCGGGACCTGCAGCGGCAGGTGCAGGCGCGGCAGGAGCGGCGACGCGAGGGCTTGGCCATCGCGCATGGCCTGGACTCGCAACCGCCCGAGAACTTCCGGGAGCTGCCACTCTACCCGTCGTACGCCGACATCCGCCCTGACCGCAAGCCCTTCGTGCGGCCCAACATCGTGTGCGGGCGCTACCCGGACGCGGCCACCTACCTGGATGTGCAGTTCCGGCTGTTGCGTGAGGACTTCATGAGGCCGCTGCGTGAGGGCATTGCTGAGGTGCTGGGCGCGACGGCCGTGGGCGGTGCGCGTGCCTTCCACGGCCGCTTCAACGACGTGCGCGTGTACCCGGGTGCGAGCGTGGTGGCGCCCATCTGCACGCCGCAGGGCCTGGTACACAGCGTGCGCTTTGACGCGGCGGCACTGCGCAACGTGCGCTGGGAGAACTCCAAGCGGCTGCTGTTCGGCTCGCTTGTGTGCCTGTCAAGCGACGGCTTTGCCACCATGCTCTTTGGCACGGTGGCCGAGCGCTCCGCTGAGGACCTGCGCAGGGGCTTCGTCTGCGTGGCGTTCGCGCCCGAGAGCAGGGGGTTGCTGCGGGCCATCGGGCCGCGCGAGTGCTTCCTCATGGCCGAGAGCACGTCGTACTTCGAGGCGTTCCGCTACGTCCTGGAGGGCCTCAAGGAGGTGGACGAGAACGAGCTGCCCTTCAGCCGCTACCTGGTGGACTGCGAGAAGGTGGTGGAGGCGCCCTGGTATCTTAGGGATCCGCTGCTGGCGCGGAGCCCCAGCTACGACTTCTCGTGCCTGCTGCTGGATCACCACGCGACGGCCCAGGTGCAGGTCGTGGCCCCCGCTCTGCGGCCCAAGTGGTGGCCCACCAAGGAGGAAATGGGGCTCGATGAGTCTCAGATGGAGGCCCTGGTGGTCGCCGTGACCCAGGAGCTCTCCATCATCCAGGGACCGCCCGGCACTGGTAAATGCGTGTGTGCTCATCGGCGTCGTTGTCATCATTGTGATCATTGTGAGGTTTGGGTCGGGGTCCGCCAGGTTCCGACAGGACCTCCAAACCACTCATAAAGCCATCCAGCTCGTGGCACATAGCCACTCCTCAGCCCAGTCAACTGAAAATGAAGAACCACCGACTCTTACAAGAGACACTTTGATATGTATCAGAGCACAAATAAACACAACACCGAAATGATCACTAAACAATCAACCTGCTAGCGACACCCTAAAGTCACCCAACCGCACAACATAATCTTGACTCATCATGAACCAATGCAGACTTGATACCTTGCGAAAAGTTACGTGCAGTAGATTTTGACATAAATTAATAACTCATGTATTTTCCTGAAAGCCCAAATTAATCATTTCAAATCAGTTATACATTGTTATTCTTTGACATGTTTATTACAAGTCACGTGTATAAACCGAACAAATATGCCCCTACTGTACAGTAGTTGCATATCTTTACAACAGTGGGCGTGGCTCTGCTGTCGTCCACTTTTCTGCTGGGCGGGGGCAGTAAAGTGTTGTTATCACTGATCGTTGGGATTCGTTCTAAATCGAAAGAGTAACAATCAATCATCAGTTGTACATCATTTTGAGTGATTTATATGTTCATTTATTTCGTGAGATTTAATTTATACCCTATATTAGTGTTTTTTGGCATAGAGATCTGCGGAAAATTTATTTATTTTTGGATTATCCTCTATTTTTATTTAACCGCTGCCGTCCTCCCCGTCATTAGCACGAATAATTGAGAGTCGTACTGTATTTGGTGTTTGAACATGAAGGATTAAACCTATTGTTATTGTTTGATCATTTTGATACTGCCAAAGAAGGTCCCATAGATATCATCTTTGTTGTCATCGTCATAATTAAAACTATCATTTCAGAATCCTCACTATCAATGTCATGGTCCACTACACGAGACCTGCCGGGGAGTAGAGTGTGGGTAACTCCGACCACTTCCAAGACCTTTGCTTAGCGTGGAAGAGTAGGCCAAAATAGCATGTAGAGAGGCGCTGTACAGCTCCCTCGGGGGGAGGCCCTTCTGCAGTTGCAGGGCTGCATTAGGGAGCTCTGAGTTAAATAAATGTTCATTTTGTTGACCTAATTTATTCATCCACCTCTCCGTTGCTGCGATGGTTGCAGGAAAGACCTACGTGGGCCTCAAGATTGCCGAGCTGCTGCTGAACAACAAGGCTGCGTGGAACCAAGTTGACCCGGGTCCCATCTTGGTCGTCTGCTACACCAACCACGCCCTGGACCAGTTCCTCGAAGGTGACATCTCTCTCGCGCGCGATCGTAACAGGACGAATGGAGCATGGACCGCCTGTTACAACTTTTACCGCTGGATGAAGGCCTCTCCACGCCTCGTCAGAGGCCCCCCCTCCCAGAGGTTCCTGGGGTCCGGGGTCGAATGGTTGGTGGGAAGGCCCCCGTAAATGGAACAAAAATTGCCATTGTGCGACCGGCTTGAGAATGAGGCCCATGGCGATTTGTCATTTTTGTCTATTCCCCGCTCTGAGCGACCTCAATGGGGGTTGTTTGATCGTGCGTGTGCATGTGTGTGTTTGGCGCAGCGGTTAGCGCACTGCACCACGACACCTGCGACCCGAACCTGAGTTCGATTCACGCTCATGACCAACAGTGTGCTAGAGTAGTAACCGATTACCACGTTTGGTTAACATGACAATTCCTTACTCATTGTCTGTGTCGGGTGGTGGCGGGTTTAACGACACATTCATATTTATGAGATCTAACTCCAAAAAAACCTTTATTATGAATAATGAGTAATATTGGTCACTTGTTTTTGTGCCCCGTCCCAGGAATCACAAAGATGTTGTCCACGGACGGCGTGGTGCGAGTGGGCGGCCGCTGCTCACGAGATTCCCTGGAGAGCTGCACGCTGAGGAAGCTGCGCATGAAGCATCGCGACGACAAGCCGGCGTACCTCCGCAGACTCTTCTACGAGGTCTCAGCTTCCCCTGGCGAGCCCCGAAGCCGACGGGAGTTCGCGATGGCCGTGTCGGTGTGGGGGGTTGAGCCGGCGCCACCGTGGGGATTGGGGATTCGGACTCTGTGGCCCACTGGTTCATCCCTCACCTTTTCTAAGGGATATTGTGATGGCCACTGTAACTTAGGGCACCGTGGTGGCGAGATCTTAACTTCTAGATTTGAAGCTTTCGTGACTGCAAGGATTCATACTGTTAGGTTTTTTTTTTACTTTACCGAAAAAACCTAACAGTATGAGATCTTAACTACTTCGTCTGGTATACAGGAGGTCGTGGGTTCAATCCCGACCCTGATGCCTGCTGTATATTTGGAGTTTGCGGTGTCTTTATCCCCGTGGTCACGTGGATTTTTCCCCGAGTCCTCCGGTTTTTCCCTCCACATTTAGAATCGGCGTGCAAGTATTTGGCTGCAATAAATTTCCACATTATAAGCCTCTTGGTTGAACTTTCATTTGTGGCCAGGTCGCTTCTGAAGAAGAGCTGTATAGCTCAGTGGGCCTTACCTGGTGAAAACATTGTTTTATAGTTTGATAGTAGCTCCTCGTGACGATCAGAATTGGAATCTTTATTTAGACGGGAGGAATCCAATGAGCTCGGAAGCTCTTTTTCTCATGATATGGGCGGGTCAATAGTGATCCGACGTGAACTGAACGGTGGTGTAAAGTGGTGTTGGCCAAATTGGAGGAAGACTTCCCAACACAAATTTGGAAGACTCGAACCCGAGCAAGAGATAACATCGGTATTCCGGCATTATTCACGAACCTGCTGTCCGTGATTTCGGTTATCCGCGAATCGCATCTGGAACTCTACACAACGGCATCGAGGGAGAGAGAGAGATAAAAAGCGACGAGAGATAAAGTGACGAGATAAAGTAATAGGATAAAGTGGTACGATAAAGTGATGAGAGAGAATGTGATGCGAGAAAGAGATGAGATGAAGTGCAAAAGATTATTTATGTATTTAGGAGTGGCCTGCGAGTCCCCGCTCTCCTTCGTGGCATCCCGCGGCCCAGCACTTGCCCCCAAAGTTTGCGTCGGCGGGATGAGAGCCGTTTCGTTTTTTGTTTCCGTGGGTTGCGTGGGCTTTCTTTTTCATCTTCCATTCGGGGGAGGGGGATGAGCGGTCTCGCCGGTCTCGGTGTGTGTGTGCCATGCTAGGTGCATGCGGAGGGTGTGACCGCTCTGCCCGCCACCCCCCTATGCAGGTGAAGACCGAGATGGCCCAATGCCAGCAGATGCTGGAAAAAAAGACGGCGCAGCTGATGGCCACTCACTTGGGCATCCTCAGAGACTCGGTGCTGATGTGCCATGTCGACAGAGAGCACTGGGAGCAGCTGGAGCAGGTCGTGAAGGTGAGTTGTTGCTCGCGATTCGAGCGACTGTCCCTCTCATTGTGGCCTCGCTATCTCTCTTGCGATTGCGTCTGCACTTTGTCTACTCTCATGGCAGGCAATGTTAAGGACAAACTCCAAAGTACGTGTGTATATTTTTGGTTCTTTCGGTAAAGTCACGTAGGTATAAAATAACTTAAATCACGACGTTACAGCAGCCCTTTTGCCCACTTCAGCAATTGTTTCTTGCTGTGGTTGTCCCACCTGATGACGGACGCTTGTGTTGTGCCCGAAACGTCGCGATTTAATTTATTTTATTTTATACCTACGTCACTTTACCGAAAGAACCAAAGAGTATGGATCCCTGCAGTCATGAAAACTTCAAATCTAGATTGTACATGTGTATGTTAAACTTCTTTCGCCACCGCATGTAGCCAACCGTGCTAATCGGATGGTCAAGTGAAGTGAAGTCAATTTGATGGTGCTTTGAGTGGCACAGATCTACCACTCACAGCGCCATCATATTAATGTGTGTTCTATGCCAGTGCAAGGAAATGTGGTGTTGAGTTGTGACGTGAATGTAGCGATGGAGTTGAGTGTGCGGATTGCTTCGGGTAGATTGTTCCAGAGGTGTGGTGGTTGGTAGAGTGTTTAGGCTGAGGAATAAAGTGATTAGTTGTTTGGTTTGATCTGCATCACCTTTCTAATGTAAGGTGGGGAAAATCCACCTCGAGTCTAATTCACTCTGCACGACAGCTCTAAATCTGGGGCTAAAAATGTCAGATCTGGCAACACCCATCGCTTTCGGGGTTGAGGCATGGGTGCCTCGCCTGTTATGCAGAAGGTCGTGGGTTCCATCCAGACCCTGTCGCCTGCTCTATATTTGGAGTTTGCATGTTCACCCAGTGGTTGCCGTGGATTTTTCTGCGGGTCCTCCGGTTTTTTGCTCTACATTTAGAATCAACATCATGCATTCAGAGTATTTGGCCGCTATAAATTTCCACATAACGATAAGCCGCTTCGTTGAGCTATCGTTTGTGGCCAGGTCGCTTCTGAAAAAAGCTATATAGCTCAGTAGGCCTTCTTACTTTGTAAAATAATAAAATAGTCGAACAGTTTAGTTTTATTTCGATTTAAAGCTTTCGTGACTGCAGGTATTCATCTTCTTGGTTCTTTCGGTAAAGTCACGTAGAAGGGAAGTAATAAAATAATAAAAATAAAACATAATAAAATAAAATAATTCTCACGACGTTTCGGCTACAACGCAAGCAGCCGTCTTCAGGTGAAGAATGAGACACTACCAAACTAGGAGCTTATATATAAGCTGCGTTGGAGGTGGAAGAGCGCCTTAACAAAAAGAATGTGCATATGAAGAGGAATTTAGCATATTCATGGAAAATGCGTAGGCGTTGGGCGGGGGGGTTTCAAAGTCATATTATGCCCATGCATTATGCAGGATCAGCAGCACCAAGGGGGGGTGCAGGGATTAGCAGTAACAAAGGAAAGGAATGTTAATGATATGTAGCTGCAGTTACTCAACAACCACGTAGAAAACTAAAGTATAAACTACATAAAAAACTAAAGTATAAACTGCATAGCACCATCAGTATACTTACTATACTCTACAATAAGCTGAGTTACTAACAGCAAGTAATACATTACAATTCTACGTCGTAAAAATTCTATAATATGCTTCCATCTAAACTTTATTCTCTTACATCACACGAGCATATACCGTACTATATACTGCCATAGATAAACCCAACATTAAATTATATACTGTATTGCTGTAAACCAACCTATACCTTATACATTTTAATATAATACTATGTATTATTCTACACACCCTAATGCAGGGGTCCTCAAACTTTTTAAACAGGGGGCCAGTTCACTGTCCCTCAGACCGTTGGAGGGCCGGACTATAGTAAAAAAAAAACTATGAACAAATTCCTATGCACACTGCATATATCTTATTTTGAAGTGAAGAAACAAAATGGGAACAAATACAATATTTAAAATGAAGAACAAGTAAAGTTAAATCAACAAACTTGCCAGTATTTCAATGGGAAGGGAACTATGGGCCTGCTTTTGGCTAATGAGATGGTCAATGTCCGGTTCCATATTTGTCACTGCTAGTCGTAACAAGTGATGCAAGTGTGCATCCATTAGTCTAGATCTGGTTGGAGATTTCAAATGTTTCATTCTGGAAAAAGTCTGTTCACAGACATAAGTGCTGCCAAAGATGGTTGCCATTTTGAGTGCATGGTTCCTGAGATGAGGATATGTCTCAGAGGGGAGAGATGCATAGAAATTATGAAGGCTGCTTGACTTGAATGCGTCTTTCAGAGAGTCACAATTCTGCAGTTCAGCCAGTTCCATTTGGTAAATTGTATCCACATTTTCAATGTCAATAGAAAATGGGTTACGGAAAAGCTGTATGTCCTGTTCATGGCGATGAAGCTCTTTAAATCTAAATTGGAACTCCTTTTGCAATTTTTCCAGTGAATCCACACATGTTTTGTTTGGGAATTGCAACCAATGGTTTTTCCGCTAACAGATTTTGAGTTGTGGGGAGATGGCAGAAGTTTTCCTCCTTAACTTGTTTGATGAGGAGGCCTAATTCTACTTCAAATGCTTTGACATGTGATTGCATATCACAGAGGAGCTTCCCCTTTCCTTGAAGTTGCACATTGAAACTGTTGAGTAGCTCTGTTACATCTGTCAGAAAGGCAAGGTGCCATTTCCATTCTGCATCATTGAGCTCTGGTACTTCTTTGTTTTTTGAAAGCAGAAAAGCTGTAATCTGTGGAAGTAAGTCATAGAAACGTTTCAAAACTCTCCCTCGACTCAGCCAACGGACTTCTGTATGGTACAGAACATCTTCATAGTCAACATTTAGTTCAGACAGAAATTCCTGAAATTGTCTGTGGTTTAGTGCATGAGCTCTAATGAAGTTAACACAAGATACCACAATTTTCATAACAGAGTCCCACTTCAGTGATTTACTACACAGCGCTTGTTGGTGGATGAGGCAGTGTATGGCTATTGGATGAGAATGGTTATGTTTGTCCATCTCTTGGTTAATGCGAGCAATTACTCCTTTCCTAGACCCCACCATGCTAGGAGCACCATCAGTTGTCACACTGGCTAGTTTAGCCCAATTCAGCTCCAAACCATTCGCAGTTTGGCAAACCTTTTCATAGATATCCTCTCCTGTAGTTGTTCCTTTGATGCTTTGCAGTGCAGCAAGCTCTTCTGTGACTTCGAAATAGTCATTCGTCCCACGAATAAAAATTAGAAGTTGTGCAGAATCACGAACATCATTGCTTGCGTCGAGTGCCAAGGAAAAATAGGAAAGTTTTTTTGTGGAGTTTTGCAAATGCTGATGCAAATTGTCTCCCATTTCTTCAATCCTCCGTGTAATTGTAGGTCCTGAAAGACTCACTGTACTAAATAAATCGGCCTTCTCTGGACACATCTCTTTGGCAACAGAAAGAAGGCATTATTTAACAAATTCTCCCTCCATGAATGGTCTGCCAGTGCACGCTATTAGCTTGGCAACTTGAAAACTTGCTCGCAGTGATTAAATATTTAGCTGCTTCTGCTTCACAAAAGTATTTTGCTGAGTTGTTAATGTATTTTTTAGTTTAATATTTTATCTTTTCTCCGACCAAACAATCATATTTATCTTTATGTTGAGTTTCATAGTGTTGACGTAAATTGTATTCTTTGAACACAGACACTATATTCTGGCATATCAGACACACAGCTCTTTCCTTGTACTGCATGAAAAAGTAATCATAAGTCCACTGTTCTTTGAATATCCTACACTCCGAGTCAATTTTTCTCTTTCTTGACATCATTGTTTCCTAGGGAGTCAAAATTGCTATTAGTAAAATACCAATATATATACAGCGCTACAAAAAACAATATACCAGCAATAACTTTGCCCACACAGAGACATACAGACTGCACTGCCCATCAATGCAGTCTGATTGGGGGAACTCCGCTTTTACCCCAGGCTCACACTGGTGCGGGTGCCATTAAAAAGTTAATTACACCTGCAGATTTGTTCACAGATCGCAGTACATCCCCAGCACACAGGAATATCACTGAGAGTGGAGCCGAGGGGCAAGTGAGGGAGCTGAGCGAGGCAGAGCCAGTCAAGCGCAGCCAGGGGAGGGCTGGCAGCCTTAGGCCTGGGGGGCTAGTCCAGTCAATTGGCCCATTGAACCATTCACCAGCGCAGCCCAATGAGTGCCCACCGCCGCAGCTCAATCAGTACTCACCAGCGCAGCCCAATTAGTGCTCACCAGCGCAGCCCAATTAGTGCTCACCAGCGCAGCCCAATTAGTGACCATGGGATGTGGGCGTCATCTGTCTCACCTCTTCGGTTCGGGGGGTAATGATGCTGCCAACTTCCTCCAAGCTGCCTCTGCTCTAAAAGACTGTGCCTGCGCTGTGATGCTCAGTCTGTCACGTCTCCCGCGCTCTCTCTCCCACGAACCAGCTTCCGGCTTTCACTGCCCACAAGTCACCGCGCAGCTGGCCCCTCCCACATGCCCTGGTTTCCTCTGAGTCCTGGGAGGTAGGGGGGCCGGATAAATGTCCTTGGCGGGCCGCATGTGGCCCGCGGGCCGTAGTTTGAGGACCCCTGCCCTAATGTGTATCGAAATGGTTTATTACGTCCTTCCAATGATTGCTAAGCCAGAATCCATCTTCTCGGTTAAAATTGTCTCTGTGTTTGTATATGTGGATCGCCTCATGAACGAATCTCTCATGATAGCCAGATGGCTTGCAGAGAACCTCTGTCTTGGAGAAGTCAATATCATTGGGCTCACAGTGGGCTCACATGATATTGACTTCTCCAAGACAGAGGTTCTCTGCAAGCCATCTGGCTATCATGAGAGATTCGTTCATGAGGCGATCCACATATACAAACACAGAGACAATTTTAACCGAGAAGATGGATTCTGGCTTAGCAATCATTGGAAGGACGTAATAAACCATTTCGATACACATTAGGGTGTGTAGAATAATACATAGTATTATATTAAAATGTATAAGGTATAGGTTGGTTTACAGCAATACAGTATATAATTTAATGTTGGGTTTATCTATGGCAGTATATAGTACGGTATATGCTCGTGTGATGTAAGAGAATAAAGTTTAGATGGAAGCATATTATAGAATTTTTACGACGTAGAATTGTAATGTATTACTTGCTGTTAGTAACTCAGCTTATTGTAGAGTATAGTAAGTATACTGATGGTGCTATGCAGTTTATACTTTAGTGTTTTATGTAGTTTATACTTTAGTTTTCTACGTGGTTGTTGAGTAACTGCAGCTACATATCATTAACATTCCTTTCCTTTGTTACTGCTAATCCCTGCACCCCTCCTTGGTGCTGCTGATCCTGCATAATGCATGGGCATAATATGACTTTGAAACCCCCCCGCCCAACGCCTACGCATTTTCCATGAATATGCTAAATTCCTCTTCATATGCACATTCTTTTTGTTAAGGCGCTCTTCCACCTCCAACGCAGCTTATATATAAGCTCCTAGTTTGGTAGTGTCTCATTCTTCACCTGAAGACGGCTGCTTGCGTTGTAGCCGAAACGTCGTGAGAATTATTTTATTTTATTATGTTTTATTTTTATTATTTTATTACTTCCCTTCTACGTGACTTTACCGAAAGAACCAAGAAGATGAGTTTAGTTTTAGTCGTTTGAATCCACGCTGAAGACAAGACGCCTGTTTGCGCGCGAGCAGCAGTGCATGAAGCAGATGGTGATGGGAAGCAAGCGCGTGTCATACATCATGGAGTGGCTCGGCCTCGGATTCTCAGAGATCGGAGCGCAGCAACTCCCAGGCATGCACGGAGGTGAGAGGCTACAAGGCAATGGGTTGTCACGTGGTCGTGACGGGCACTGCAAGATCCCACCGTGTCCATCCAGTGCTCGCCGAGCCCGCATTGTCTACCGGTTGCCAAACAAACACATTATCAGGTCGCGCTCATTACACACAAGGTGCTTGCCACAAATGAACCACAATAACTTGCTGATCTTGTCAAGGAGCATAAACCATCATTACGCAAACTCCGGTCATCCTCGCAGTGGTTTTTGGCTAGCCAAAGATGGTCACCGCATCGCACGCTTTCAGATGCACTCCTGTGGCTGTCTCAAACGCTCCTCGTTCCGATTTTAAGAAGCCACTGGAGCTCTGCACTTTTAAATAATGGAGATTGAAAACTCATTTCTTTAAAACTGCTTTTTGTGTTAGGTTTGTTTTCCTTGCCCCGCACCTCCGATTTACACGGAGGTGCGGGCCCAGGCCTGTGGAGACCGGAGCGAGCGTTGGTGGATCACACGCACGTGCATTTGTAAGAACTTTCTCCCTGCCCGCGAGGTCATCGTCTCCTGGCTTATGTGCCAGGGTACGGCGGCAATACAGCAAGTCGGTTGATTTCAATCCATACGCCGATCGGGTGTTCCGATTTCCTCCCACGTGAATAATCACTCATTGATGAAGTGAGCCCAATATCACAACATAGGACGGCAGAGCTTGGGGAAGTTGTTGTTGGCGCCGATTTCTGGCTGCTGCCGTCCCACTTGTCTGTCTGTGGTTTCCCGTGTCTCTGAATCATTCTCTGTCTCTCTCGCTGAGACCGACAAGCAACTACGCGCGTTACAAATTCCTAACGACAACGATGACAAACGACGACCTGACCTGTATCGGCATGACCTCGCCATGCACGCGCTGCGTCCAAGCAGGGGCACAGCCAGGACAAGATGAGGAGGAGCTGGAGGATTTGCTGGAGGAGCTGGAGGAGGAGCTGGAGGAAGAGCTGGTGGGGAACCGCATGATAGAAGAGGACCGCACGCAGCACGAGAAGATTGCGGAGCGGCGCCGCGCCATGAACGAGCTCCACCGACAGTTCGTCGCCTTCAGCGTCGAGGACCGTGGGGCTGGAGAGGAGGGGGAGGGGGAGGAGGAGGGGGGCAGGTGGCAGGTGAGGGTTCCTGCCGCTCCGCACTGCCGCCACCTTAGTTTGTCAGCTCCCGCGGCTCTGTTTTGTTTCTGCAGCTCGTCCGTCTAAACTAAAACTCTTAAACTACCTTTTGTTTAAATATTGACTTAAAGCTTTCGTGACTGTAGGAATTAATATTCTTTGGGTCACGTACATGACAGAAAGACCCAAAGAATACCTTTTGTTTCACCAGGTAAGGCCCCACTAAACTATGTTGCTCTTTTTCAGAAGCGACCTGGCTCTCGCAAATGATAGCCCAATGGAGTTGCTTGTCACCGTGCAGAAATTTGCAGCAGCTAAATACTCTTGACGCACGTTGATTCTAAATATCGAGGAAAAAACTAGAGGACCCGTAGAAAAATCCACGTGACCACCATGGAAATATACAGGCATCATGGTTGAGATCGAACCCACGACCGCCTGTATATCAGGCAAGGTAGTTCACATCGCGCCATTGCAGTGCCCCAGGTGTCCACACCTGCGTCTTATTCTGTCTGTACTGAACGTCACCAGACGAGGAAGAATCCCTTTTGATTTCTCGCAGAGCGGTGCGACCCTGCGCGTTAAAGAACGATGCATGGAAGTGGCCATCACGGAGCTACATCTGAGGTCCCTTACTCCAATGATCTCTTGTCCGCACACAGTAGAGGGTAACACTTGCTCAGCACATGAGAAGGAGGTTCCTCGCATGACAGACAATTCCATATTTGAATTCTCAGAGTTAATAATATAATTAATAAGAATTAGCCGGAACCAAATTCTTTAGTGCAGTCATTTGTGACAGGGCTGAGACCAGGAACTCGCTCCACTTGTAAGTGTGTTGAACTTCTTTCACGCCATACGTGGCTAACCACAGTAATTGGAGGTACGGGAGGACAACAAACTAACACACACAAAAAGCAGTTGATTTTATCTCCAAGTTATATAAAGGATACAGACACAGGGCTGGGTTTAAACACAAGCAGCTGCCTGGATTCGAACCCAGCAGACTCGTTGGTGCTGGCTCGGCACTCTGACTGCTAAGCTGCCCGGTCACTTCAAAGCGATTCTCATCCAGCGATCGGAAGGGATGAATGGGCCAAGTCTGGGCTGTGATGGCTACGCTGTACGTGTCTGCTGTGAACCAGCACTGTCGAGGCAGTGAGGGTTGGTGGATCACAGCACATGTGCTGGGAGTGGAGAGTTGCCAGGAGAAGGCGGTGCAGCAAGTTAACTAATCGGGGGATAGAGCGTTGCCCCTCCCCCCCTCGCGCAACGCGTGGGTTTTCTCCGGTTTCCTAACAAACACAACCTCGTTAATAATCGGCTGAAAACATCCTAAAATAATAACTCCCAAAGTAGTGGCGGCGGCAGGACCCTTCTGAGGAGGGGTCCCGCGACTCGGCGTGGCCCTCTCCGGATAAATCAGTGGTTACAAAAGTAATATAAATTCGACTTTTGACCCGAGACGTCGAGCCTGCAGCCTTCTGACGGAGAGCCGAGCGCTCAAACGGAGGAACTCGTGATGGAGCAACCGGCGTCGCGTTCCTCCCCTGTGGTGTGCAGAGCACCATGAGCAAGCGGAACATGAAAAGGATGGTGACGAGCGAGCTGAAAAAGGCGGCCTTCACGTCTGACGAGGAGGAGAAACAAGTCCAGAACGTCTGGCACCTGGCGATGGCAGAGCGGTGGCGTTTGTACCGGTACGAGACTGCCGGTGCTGTCTCCTTCCTTAAAACTATTTTTTATTTCTTTATTCGTCTAAAAATTGGGAAGACAACTCAAATGCGAAGGCACGATAAAGTGTCAGCTGCTTATTGATTTCATGGTGGCTCGCACACCATGTCAGACGTTCTGGCAGTGGTGGACCGTTGATCCAGCTTTGGGAAGCTGCAAACTCCACCTCGTCTCAGCCAGTTGACGCATGCAGGCGGATTGGCTGACACGCCCATATATGGACATGCCTATGATGAAGAGCTTCATAGCTCATCCGGATTCCTGATTGTGGATTCTGTGAGAAACTGGAATGCGACGAGGACGTTTGCTGCGACCTCGCCGCCGCTTCTCGCGAGACCCGACCTGGTGTGAGCCCAGCGCCGCCGCTTGTGAATCCCTCAGCGCGCGTTATCCAATACCGGAAAACCAACAGTCTCTCAAGGCTATATGGAGGATCTTTGTCTTTGTATGTGTGTGTGTGCGCATGCCGTGCCGTGCAGGCTGTGGGTGACCAGGTACCAGACGAGCATCCGGGACACGATCGCGGCCGAGGAGGACCGGTACCAGAGGCTGGCGGACCAACTGTCAGAGGTGCGGGACGAAGAGGACCACGGCATCCTGAAGGAGGCCACTGTCATCGGCATGACCACGACAGGCAAGGCCCCTCCGCACAACCGCATTCGAAAACTGTGATTCGCAACTTTCATCTTTATTCGTGTTTATGATCTCGTCAAGGAGCATAAACCATCGCGCAAACTCCGGTCATCTTCGCAGCGGCTTTTGGCTGGCCCTTCCGATATTCGGAAGCCACTGGAGCTATGCACTTTTAAATTATCTAGATTGAAAATTCATTTCTTTAAAACTGCTTTTTGTACACTATAGGAACCTCATTTGCCAGTAAAAATATGATAATTGGTTTTTTACCCTTCTATCTGGCAACAAAACTGGCACCTTTTTACAAGGAGTCATGTTTGTATCGACCGCAATACCTGCAGTCATAATAACATAAATAAACACATTAATTTTACGTACCTTTACTATTAACGATGGTGATGAAGATGACAATGAGATGATGGGGGAAGGGGGCTGTTTAGAAAGAGTAGAGGATCAGCCCACGTGACACTCTCACCTTCACCACTCGCTGCACACTTCAGGTCCATGATTAAGGGCAAAATTAATCCTTTCCTGGAATCGGAAAGAAAATTAAACTAACCTTATCGGTACAGTACTTCTTTGACGACGTCACACAATACAATGTCATGCTGGGATGCAATGATGTAATATACACGTCATGTGACTTCCTTAACACCATGCTTACCTGTGGATACTCAAATTTCCGGTTGGCGATGGATTCCTGTACATCAATAAGAATTTAAATTATGCATCGCAATAAAAGTTACATGACGATAAGCCACTTCGTTGAGCTATCATTTGTGATAAACAGGTTGCTTCTAAAAGCTATATAGCTCAGCGGGCCTTACCTGCTTAAAGAAAAAATAGTTTATATTTGGCCACGGTGCGCTGTGACGCTACGCAAAATGGCGCAAGCACGTTGGCGACCTCCGGCGACATCCGATGACCTCCGGCGCGTCATCCGTGTCCCCCCCCCAGGGGCCGCCAAGTTCCGGGGAATCCTGCAGAAGGTGCGGCCCAAGATCGTCATCGTGGAGGAAGCGGCCGAGGTCCTGGAAGCTCACATCATCACCACGCTGAGTAGCGCCTGCAAGCATCTCATCCTCATTGGGGATCATCAGCAGGTTTGTTGCCCACAAACACAAAGGAGACATCACAGCGATACACTCCGCTGCTCCTGATGCGGTTATCTGGCTTGACCACCTGAATGTGAAATTGTAGTCGTTGCTCTGCATCTACATCAGCCGTACGGAAGAAGAAGGAGGAGCAGGTTTGTTCGGAGCCTCCGTCTGACCAATCGACTCCTGTATGTGGCCAGTTACCGTTGTCATCATTGTCATCTTCATCATCGTCGCACGTCATCGCGGTTTTATCTTCGTCGTTTGATCACTATGATCACCATATTCGAGATCAATGTCATCACCATTATAGATCGAGCTTCACTATCATCGTCGTCGTCATCGTAACCACTGTCCCTGTCTCTGGCTGTTGTTTTATTACACACCCTTGCGTTTGCCAGTGCTTTTCACCGATGCATACTGAACGCATACATCATCAAGCGTGTCCATCGTCACCCCACCGTTTTCTCATCGTCAGCATCACCACCATTTTCACCATCGGCATTGCCTTACCAGGGGCGGTGCGGCTGTTGACTGGGTGGATTATCTGGGGTACACATTAAATGTGCTTGCGAAAACACAATTGTGTTCACACGTGCATTGATTCCACGTGAGGCACGTGTGCATGCGTGTGTATATCGCGAGCGTGTGTGTGTATTGCGTATGTGTGTGCGTTTGTGTATCGCGTGCATGCATACATCGTGTGCGTGTGTATATCGCGCGTGTGCGTATATTGTGTTGCGCGCATGAGCCCGAGCGTGTATGTTGCGTGCATCGCGAGCGTTGCCTTGCTTCCCCCGTGTGTGTTTGTGATGCCCGTTGTCCGGCCCCGCCGGCAGCTGCGGCCGAGCGCCAGTGTGTACGAGCTTGCCAAGCGCTACAACCTGGAGGTGTCGCTCTTTGAGCGCCTCGTCAAGAACAGCGTCCCCTTCGCCCGGCTTAGCATCCAGGTGAGCGCTGCGCCGCACCCGGCCGCCGCACGCCGTTACGGCACTCTGAACTAAGACTAAACTAATTTTATTGTGCCAGGTAAGGCCCACTGAGCTGTATAGCTCTTTTTCAGAAGCGGCCCGGCTATCACAAATTATGGCTTCTTGTTGTATATGTTGGGTATGAAAATTTGTTATGTTGTATGCGTGCGTGGGTGAAATTATTATGTTGTATATGTGGGTTATGAATATTCAGTGGAAATAATAATAATTAAATGAAATTTGGCCAAATGTGTAATTATCCGGAAATATGTTAATTTATGTAATTACGCACATTTTAATTATGCCAATTCGAGAGGTAATCGTATTAATTATGCGAGTGGGTGTAATTATGATAATGCAAGTCGTTATGATAACCAGACCCCGGTTCACCCCGTTATCGCTTTAACATTTACTGAGTATGTATTAGTGTGTTTATTAAGGTCACCAAGTTCAAATCTCAACGCAGAAGCAGATCTTATGCATAGATTTCAGGAAAGAATCACACAACCACTTCTGTATTGATCAATTTATTACTAATTCAACCTTAACTATGATATAGTATGCGAACTCTCAATCCCGGAACGTCAATACGGCATCAATACAGTATCATCAACGATTGTCTGATTTCACTTTGACAACGGCACATGGATCCCGCATAACGCGATGGTTGTTAGTGAGAGAGAGAGTCGTTAAAACATGCAAATACTATGCTAAGAAAACCTTAACGTTAATGAATGATTATACTCAATATTGTTCACGCAGTACCGCACTCCTTATTGATCATACGCAACCCTTATCACGTTGTTAACACCTTGGGTCACGGAACAGTTGAATATTCTGTAGAGGATGCGAGTACGTGCGGCGATTATGACTGAAAGATACTTGAAAGATTATACGGCGATAAAAAAAAAAATACAATCAAAAACAGTTATTATTCTTAAAGGCACCAATCTCAACAGATACATCGGCAGGTTATCTGACAACAGAACGGCTCGGAGTAAGGGCCTGCGACGGTGCTCCTTTTCCGAAGCTCGTTATCTTATACCAAGTTTACTAATTGGGGACCAGATCACCTGATAAGGGTCCGGTGGGCCACCACTCCCCACGTGAGCGTGGCTCGGCGGAAGGAGGTGCCAAGAATCAGTTCGTATTGATGGATCTGTTGGGAATTTATGCGATTAAGAGTACAGCCCACTAAATATTAAAGATAAAAATTAAGAATACTCTTATAAGAGACGGAGGGCCATCACTCGGTCTCGTTGTGATGCTTTCCAGCCACGGATGGCTTATGGGTTCGAGTGTTTTTGAGTGGTAAGAGTTGTCTTGAATAGTCAGTGTTCGGAGTCGATTCTTTAGGTCAAACAGACGCCTGGTGGTCGTGTGGTGAGGGGGCGGTGCGCGTCATACGTATCAGTCGATCCCCTGTCACCGTGGCGAATTGGTTCGGATGGCTGTTGATACGCTGTCGCAGTTCGGAACCCGGTCGGTAGGTGGCGCCCACAACTCGCTCGTAGCGTGCAGCGCTGGATCGTCGCCAAACCGCAACGATCACCACTCCGGCGGCAGCAGAGACCTCCGGCGGCAGCAGAGATTGACGAGCTGAAGATGAGTCGAGCCGACCCGCTGGTCGCAGCTCGCTCCTGAGTCGACCCTCCCGGTCGAGCTCGCTCCTGGGTCGACCCGCTGGTCGCCCTCGCTCCTGAGTCGACTCTCTGGTCGCACTCCTGAGTGGACCCGCTGGTCGCACTCCTGAGTGGACCCACTGGTCGCACTCCTCCTGAGCCGACTCTCCCGGTCGCGCTCCTGAGTGGACCCTCTCGTCGCACTCCTCCTGAGCCGACTCTCCCGGTCGCGCTCCTGAGTGGACCCTCTCGTCGCACTGGTTTCCAATGCTCAGGATCCTTTACTTTATGCCGAAAATTCCCCCTGGATCCCGCCCACAAGGCGGGGCTTCTTCCGATTTTTGCTGTGTCAGGATCTGTCCGTAGGCAGGTGTGTCCATGTGTCTGTCCGTATGTCCGTGTGTCCTTGTGTGCATCACTGACGGTATATTCGTTGTCACACTCCCTCCATAAAACCCACGAGCAAACAATCAGATGTTACAAATTGCCTCGAAGTCGTCTCTCTGTCTGGGTGCAATATTATCTCTTGTCTGGCCTTCTTCATGACCCAAAACACAGACGTTACAAATCGTCTCATAGGCGTCTTTGTTCGTGTTGCACAACCTGGAGGGAGGGGCAACACTCTCTCCGACCCGGCGCACAAAGAAATGGTTAAAAGTTTTAAGTTAACATTTGTCCCTTACTATTTCACAGTTATGATTCTGTATGTAACCTAAGGTCTGTCGTTTCCCATCGTGGTGCTTGACTCAAGTGTAGGTGTTTCCCCGAGCGTATACACACTCCTATCCCGCGCTGCGGGGATACAAAGACGGCCGGGATCTCCCTTTCTCTCTGACCCTGGGTTTAACATCGTTTTTTTTATTATGTATTATATTCGACCTGGTTGTGATTCATCCCGTTATCCTGGCTTTTCCATAAGTTTTACTTTGTCTTTTCATGCATATACTTATTACTATTAATTTATTTCCGATATCTTAGGTTAAGGGGTAAGTTTCTTGATCCTAGGAATTCGTATTCCTTGGTGCCTGGATGGTTATATAAGCGGAATATAGTTTACGGTGAATAGCGTTAACATTGATGTTATGTGCGATATTATGTATTGTGATGTCTTTAACTCAACTTGTTTGTCAGGGCTTTACTGACACGAAGTTGCATTCCATAGCCCCGCAGTCTTTGCCCCACCCTATCTCTGCTCGCCGTGGTTGTTGCAGTCCAGCTGACGTCGTTAACTCAAGGCCTCATTAATTTCCGTCACTCCTTGTGTGTGAGGGCGGTTGAACCTTGGAGTCAGTTCTGGTTTTTGTCTGCCTGCTTCTTCTTGTGTCCCCTGACCCCGGGAGTTATTATTCTACTTTATGGCCTGTCGAAGCCCCACTCGCTGTTGCTGGGCTGGTGTTGTTCCCGGCTTTTTGCTTACGTTTGCAGTTCGCCGTGCTCTTAATTTCCTTCCCTCGTCAACCTTATATCGACTATTCGCTCCTGTCTGGGTGCGATTCAATTTTGACTTAGGAAGGTTCTGATTGTCATATGCTTCGGGTCGAGTTGTATAGAAAGTATTGAAGTATGGAAATAACATTTCATATTGACTTAATAATGGTGATGGTTCAGTAGGCGTAACTTGTGGCCTGGTTTAATTGGAGTGGGTGTGAATATCAATAACTTTAGCCTACCCTGTTGTTAAATTCCGACTTTAACGTTACTTTAATAGCAATACAGAATAATTGAGCTTTTCGTCTTAACTAGGCGAATGCGAACTTCTGGTGACCCCCGCAGCCTTGTTACTCAGCTGGGTCTTGCCCGCCTTGAGAGATATACAACACTCTTTTAAATCACCTCTCCCCCTGTCCAACCTTCTGCTCTGGGAGTGTTATTCTTGATTCCAGGTCCAAGGCCCCCTCACATTCAGACGCGCAGGGTTGTTTACATCAGCTCCCCCCCCCCCCTGTGCACGTGTTCTAACTAGCTCGGAATCCCTGAACACACAATCAGTGATGATTCCTGGCTTTCTGTGGTTGTGATTTAGACAAAGGCGCCTCTGTTTTCTTTCATTGCCTTTGAGTCGACACTGCCCTATTATTTGCCCATGTGCTGAGGTCATAGAATTCGTTTTGACTTCAGTAATATTAACATTCAGTATTGGATTAGCAAATGGGCAATGGTTCATTTATGTAGCTCGCAGCCTGGTCTCCAATTTGAGCGAGCGCGAGGATCGATAATTTAGCCTACTCTGTTGTTGAATTTCGAATTTTGACGTTACTTTAAAACCATGCAGGATAGTTGGGCTTTTTGCCTTAACTATGTCTGGCTGACACTCCCACTGTCTCTGCCGCCTGCACGGGTGACATGTGCCCGTTCATCAGGCCTTATCTTTCCTTGAAGCAAGGTTGCAAATTCTGCCATCCTAGCCCTCCTCCAGTTCATTACTTAACAACACCTGGTGTTTTGCAGTTTGCTGCGCTTTTGGTGTGTTTCATTCATTAAAAAAACAAGTAAAAAGATAATATATAAAAATCATCAAATATTATTAATCTCAATTTTGGAAGAAGGGTTAGGATACAACATACCGCCCTTTTAAAAATGACCAGTGGTCAAATGGCCACGGGTTATTTTTAAAAAAAATATGTATACCCTTCTTCCATCATGAACCATCGATTGTCCTCAAGTTTTGCTGCTATTCCTTACAACGCGTGCGTACGTGTCACAACTTAACATGGTTATATTTGAATTGAGCAAAGAAAATTAAACAAGCGTTAAACATCGATATTGCGTTACATCGGTTCTGATACATCATGACTCCGACGAATATTCATTTTTGTTTTTGTTAAATCCTGGGAAACGCTAGGTAGCGGTTTCGAACGCATTTATGCGTTACCTTCCTCATGTTGCCTCGTTCACCACTTATCACTTCGATAATTCGATCACGGTTTTCGGGTTCGTTTTTGTAGTTTCCTCTCTGACTCTCTGTGTCGTGGGAGTGTGTGGTGAAAAATTGTGCTGCACATAACCAGAATTCGCGCACACGACCCACTTTGACACTTGGTTCGAGGCATTCGCTCTCTCTGCGATTACATGCACATTTGCCGAGTCAGTGTGTCGATTTAATTCTGTCCCTCGTAATGTTGCCCTCTTTGTTTTTACTAGTGTGTTGGATTTCAACACCATTCCCGATACGTCATGGACATTCGTCTCCATTTTAGCACTCCGATCCACATAATTTTTGGTTTCCCTTGGATATTTTCCATTCAAAGGCTCATGCCTGCGCTCCTCAGGGCGTGTCCCTGCTGTCTGTTTTTGTACTGTCCGATCACGCTTCAATGCAACCCTGTCCTTGTATTCGATCCGCGCGTCATTTACGGG